GAACACATTGCACAAAGGCCCCATTGGGGATGTAATTCAGGGCAATAACACCCAAGGTTGGGCGGTGGAAAGCCAAAAGCTGACGCTACCTGGAGATTCCTAGGCATTAATTAAAAATTCAAATCAAATCTCTACCACCTCCCCCCACCCCCCCAGATGATTGTGAGGGACAACAAAGCGTGGCAGATCTACCTCAGGATACTAGGAGAGAGGGGAAAAAAGAATCAGGTCAAAGCACACAATATATGAAACCTTGGGATGCCGTAGGGCGCAGTATGCAATGACCTCAGACTGTTTTGAAAATCGATTACAGAAGGCCTTTAGCTATTCAGCTGAGTCAATGACCGTATCTATGCATGGCAAAAGGAAAACAGCTACATCTTCTCTGGGCTAATAAGTACGAGGGTTCCCAGCCCGAGATCCTCACAGTGCCTAGCAAAAGGGGACGTATGGAAACAGCCCCTCTCAGCTATCCTTCTTCAGACTGAGAGAGGAAAACATCGGCTTTCTTTTCATAAATGTTTGATTTCCATGAGATCAAAATAGATGAACCCCAGTTTTCCTCCTCCCCTTTGGAAAAAAACATCACCAGCTGTGCTAGGGGTCACGATGTAATAGACAAAGAACATGTGTAATTCAGGAACTACAACTGCCTAATGAAATATATGTCAAAAGAGACAGCTGGCCTGAAGGCTTGGGCAGCCCAGTGTCTTTGTCTTAAGGTTCTCTCTGACTAGAAGTACAGAATTAGGACTGGTGAAATGGAATAAGTTTTATCTGGTATATCTGATTACCAATGTCTCCTTTTTTGCACTTAAGCTTGCACATTACAGGATTTGTAACTACTGTCCAGTTAAAGCTGCTCTGCTTTGGCAGCGTAAGCCATAACCAACGCATGAGAATGAAGGGTTTTGCTCCTGGTGAGCAGAGCATTCAAACATAGGAGAACCATTAAGTTTGATTTGGGTAGCAAAGTACTGGCAACATTAAGACTCAGGCTGCTCCAACAGACATAGAAAAATTAGTCTTATTGTGTTACTACTTGGGAGAGACTCTGCTTCAAATAGCTGTTTCCATCATCCTCATTAGAGCAGAACTAGCAAAGTTCTTGGTTCAATGACATGCATTGAGTCTGCTCTCTTCATCAGTGCTTAAAGCACAAAAGATATTGAAGCTAATCATATGAAAACATTTTAAAACTGATGAAAATGAAGGAATTGAAAATAAGATTGGACACCACTAATTCTAAAAATCTTGTTAATTGGAGCACAGGGATTATATCGCTTAAAAACATACACTCTTCAAACATGAAGAACATGATACGCCAGCACCAGTTCACTAGGCTAAACACGTTTTCCAGGCAACAGTGAAAAAATGTTTTGAAGTCAAGCAATATTGAAGTCAAAAAAAAAAAAAAAAGGGTCAAAAGTAGCTCCATTCATTTTCTTCGCCTTAGCTAATATAGACCATACAATTCTGTCTTCCTTTGTTTCTCCCTCTTCTTTCAGAAAAACCCATAGCAACAGTAGAGGAAATGAGCTGTGGGTTCGGCACCACAAAAACTTGAATGGGCTTACTTTTAAGCACGCGAGCAGCTCACTGGCTTCAGCTGGGACTGAATGTTCAGCATATGCTGCAGGGCGCTGCCACCACGGGACCTGCCGAGTGAAAATGGACTAAATGTCTACGTGTGGTCAGATACACGGAGACAAGGTGTTCACACTACAGCATGAATTAGCTGCCTGTAGGGACGGTAGAAAGAATTTAGCTTTTTAGCAGCACATCTAAGAGCCTCAACCCCTCTTAGACCAGTGGTGTAAAAAGCAAGCATGCACTATTCCTAATACAATGTAGAAAATGCACACAGAAGATGCAAGGACTATAACAACACCTAAAGGATTTGCAGACTTTTACAGAACAGTCTGGCAGCTTCAGGCCAAAAAGAGATGGTTAAGGAACAAAATCAAAGGGATCGGGTATATGTGAAAGGTGGCAGAAGGAATGCACTTCACTGCATGTAAAGCAAGAACCAACCACAGAACAAGACCCAACCGATTTGTGTGCACAGGCAATATAAAAACTAGGCTAAAGTTTACAGTCTACCTAGAAACAAGGTGATAAGTACAGCCCCTTATCAAATTTTAGTATGAAAGCTTTGTATTAGATAACAAAAGCTGGGTTGTGGAGCTTTCTTCTAGCGCTGGACTCATGCCCATGCTGAAGTTTTTAGATACAGGTAAATTAAGACCCTCACGCTCAGCTCAACATCTGAAACTGGGGCAAGGTTCAGCCTATTAGGCTGGCCACTGATGAATGTTTCCTAACAGAACAATAAGGATTTCATACTGAAACTCCTGTAAGTTTTAAGAGTGTAAAAGCATTAACAAATTTCTTTAATTAAATACTGATATTATTTCAGTTTATGCTGTACATTTCATTGCTAATATTTTCAGTAAAAGCCTTCTAAATTCAGCTTCTGGGGCTTTTTTTTTTTTTTTTTTCTCCCTTAAACTGATTCCTGATACCCTGCCAGTCTCCAGTTCATTACTGGGAGTCAACAAATGCCAGTTGGAAGGTGATTTCACTTACTTTCCTGTTCCAGTTGTATATAGTCTTCTAAGACAGCTGAAGGTGAGTATTAAAATCCCCCAAATAAACAAAACATTGCAACAACAGCAAAAGAATCCCAAACCACTCTGAAGTACACACTTCAGGATACTTATAATTAATGATTTAAGTAGATTGTGCCACTTCATATTCTCCAGGTGACAGACTCCCACTACATCCATGACAGGGGTGAGCACTACAAAAACAAAGGCTTCTGGCCTTTTGGAAAAGGTAATTTGGATATGTAGGAAATGCAGAAAAAAGCAGCACAGCTACAAACGAACGGGAAGACAGTCATGTCCAAATATCTTGTTCCTATTGTCTAGATATTAGTCTAGGGACTCCACAGGTCATTTTAAAAACAGACCAGAAAAAACTTTTGTTTCCTTAAATGCCTTTTTTTTTTTTTTTTCCCCTGCATGCTTGTAACATACCTTGAATTATTTTATTGAAGTAAATTATACATAGCTGTTTTATCCAGTACCTTCTTACAGTTATTGGACAGGATTCAGGTTTCAGAAGAAGTTGATTGTTCTCACCAAGTTTTTCTTGATATTCACAAGCCAGCAGCAAACTCTGATGTGCCATTTCGAGTGAAGGGGAAGAGCTGTGATGCAGCTCCAGCAAGATGATACTTCCTGAAGAGAATCAGCAGAACACTGGACAGTGTCACAGACGCTTCTACTATTAAAGAGCAGAGGTAAAGAAAACACATATAGCTAATTGTATTTACTTTGTATCTGCTCCACTGTACAAATAAACTCACTGGTTTAAACGTCTATTCAGCAAACTTTTAATTCAAGACAAGCCTAACTAGTAGGTCACAGCAAAATTTTCAGTCCTACTTAATAGGACAAAAAACCTGGATAGCAAATATTTTCTTAGAGGATGAACACTAGAAAAAATTGCTAATTGGGGAAAAAATAAATCTCTCACAGCTGTGGCTCGTAAGTAGGATCTTTGAAAGTTTGCAGATAATTTGAAACGTTCCCACTTTCAGTAAAAACATTGGAGTTTGTACTAAAATTTGTAAGTACAAATTAATCAATATATAAATTCTTGTTATATTGATGAACTCCCAGTCCTGCAAGCTCACAAAATGAGAGCCATACACCAAGTTCACTCAGCTCCCAGTCTCCCCTGTGTATGAATATTTGCAGGGATAATTGTCTTAGTTATTTCTATCAGTGACTGTAAACAATTCTTCCTGCTACTCTGCCAAATTAATATTCATTCCTTCAGAACATCACATTAGAATAAACTCTTATATTCTTAAAAATTGCTGAAATCTAAAATTGAAATCAGTTAAATGATCTAACTGGGCTCCAGGGTTTTACCTCTTTTAAATTAGGCCATGTAAATGTTGTCTGATTAAATCCATCTACAATGAACACCTTGAATTAGCTTAACATTTCTATCTAAACAGCTCCAATGACATTCAAATTTATTATTACATAACAAGATTAAAAAAACCCCAACATTTAAATTAGCCAACAATACTGTTCAGAGGTATATTATTCCTTGACTTTGAGAAAAAAAAACACTAAAATGTAGATTTCCAATTAGTTGGGATAAAACATTCTTTCTATAAACTTTGAGCTAGGAAGCAAAAGGATATACTGTCTCCCATGTTTGCTCCATTAATGTGAACCAAAACTAACAGTCAATCATATCGTAGCAATTTCATTTTTTTTAATCCACAGAAAATACTCCCTCATTTTGCTAGACAACTCGGTAGCTCTGATTTTTAATCCTTAAAGGGATGGGGATGAATCTTTAGAAAAGACTTTTGCTCCAGGTAACAGAATACCCTCCTGCCCCCTTCCCTGGTTTAATTTGTAAAGTCCATGTCAGAATCCTACCAGCTCTGTCTATAAAGATTTCCAGGGAATATAAATGCGAAATGATAACATATAGTCTCACTTTCCCTCCAAATCATACTAAAACCACTGTAAAGATTTATTTTAGTCTTTAGCATCCTTAAATTCTTAGAAATTATATTACAAAAGTCTATCCTGTATTTTACAGTACCGAATCACGGAAGAAGATACAAATATATTTTGCTCCTGTGTGACTTGGTTTTCCAGAAGTGGGGCATCCTACTCAATCCCTCCTCTGTTGCAAACCCCAGCCCAGGTGGCCTCTGGGGAACACCATGGCTGGAGCCAGGCGCATGCTGCTTTACCTTGGAATTTCAACATTTAAGGGGGAAAAACAGTGAAAAGGGGGCTTTTTATTACTGTAACTAAAAATCATCAAAATAAGCACTCAATATCCCATTTTAATATAACTAGCTTGAATCAGAAAACTGAAGGAGGCCTGAAAAGTTCATAAATTAGTGACAGTAAAACAGATGTGAGAACGGTTTATACCATACCACTCAAATACACACACACGATATAATTGCCTGTTTTATTTAGTGGAATCACTTTTGTAGATTAGAAATATTTTCAATTCCCATTTACTCCAATGCAAGCCTCCACCATTGACAGGCATAATGCAGTTTGTTCAACTGATTCCAAACCAAAAAAAAAAAAAAAAAGTACAATCTCAAAAGTTAAGTTAGAAACTAAGTTCACACATTTTCTTTGGGACCAGGAATCTGTACATAGTACAAAATATACATTTATTGAACTTTCTGTAAACACACAGTTTGAATTGTGTAAAACTGTAAATAGTGGGTGAACTGCGTGGAGAATAATTTATTATATAGTGTTATACATTCTACTTAAGGAAAATAGTTACGCTCTTGTATATTACTCTGTTAAATTTATAAATTCCGTAACGAAGCTGTGTAATCTGCAAACATGCTTTTCAAGCTTAAATCTCTCCATTCATAACACACATTTATACAGGTCATCAATGAAAAAAATTACACTTTCCACAAAATAGATATAAAGAGGTCATGAATTTCTAAAAAGACAGACACAGCATGTCACTACAAATGAGACTCTTATGATACGATGTGGAGTCAATTCTGTGAGAAGACAGGTGAAAACTCTCTAATTCAGCATGTTTGTACGTGGTCTTAGTAACAAGACAGATGCTAGAAACCAAAATCTCTGCTTTGAAGGATTTATAAAGCAGCCAGTTCTGGAAATCAAACCTCACACTTTTCAGTATATCCAGTATTCCCTGGCAAGGAGAATCTAGGCTTTTGTCTTGTATTAACCCTTGATTGCTAGTAATTTAGTTTTCCGAGTCACGAACTACCCAGCACGATTCTCCAGTAACACTTGCATAATTCAGCACTTACTCCAAAAACTAGATTCCTGGCACCAAAGAGTTAGATCTGGTTAATAAATACAACTTAACTCTTGGTACTCAAGGTCTCTGCGAATCACGCCATCAGCACTAAAGCACAGGCTAGGAAATCCCAACTCCCAGCATCAAACACTGCACGGCCTTAACCCACAAATGCGCGGTAACGGGTACGGCGGCATTTCACATACTGGGGGCTGTTGTATAATGCCCAGTTTCTGGCAAAGATTGGCGTTTTCCAGTAGCTCCATCCCTGGACACGGAAATAATGCTATGTCAATTCAGCACATTTATTCCTAGATTATTTGCATCTCATTGTTTTTCCATCCTGGGTAACTCACGCTGGGTTTCATCCTTTTATTTATTCTTTATAGTTAAAAGCACTATATCAAAAACCAAACCTCTCAAACTGTGCCCTTCTGATGCTTAAAAGAAAAAAAATGCTAACTCACATGTTAAAAGATTTATGAAGTTGGTATCTCCAATTAATTTAACGTTTTGCTTTAACATTACCACCCTCTTCCTTTTGGCTTTGAAAAGCTTTTTCAAAACCAAAACTGAATAAAGGTTAAATTTCTTTTTAATTCCAAGAAAAGTGGGTCAGTCAATGCTCCAACAGTACATGGGCAAACTTTGTATATTGTGAGTGAAGCCCCGTCAACATCAGCAGGATGTAAAGTTACATGCCCGATTTCCCCAACACTATCTTAATTAATTTTCCCCTGTAGCTTGAACAAAAATACTGTGCTTCAGCTTGAAATCCTAACAGTGAAAATGAAATCAGCTACTCAATACCTCCATTACTGACTGGGTTGAATTCAGTAACGCAAGTGAAATTAAACTCTGAACCTCAGTCTGTAGGCATTGATAGAAGTAAAAGTATGTAATGTTTTAGCACCTGACAGTCTCGGGTTTCTCCATTTTTCTTCTCAAAGATCTTTCTCAAAAGAAACAACAGTGGCTCCTCCTTCAACTCGGAAGACTTACAATATGTATGGAGTCCTGTCTACTTTAGCTGTAAAAAACCCACACGCGCCCAGCTCTTCAGAGCCGTACAGTTAATGGAAGCAAAAATGAATTTCAGTTCTGGCTCAATGTTACTGAGAGAGCTGAGAAGTACAGATGCAGTGCTCTTAAAGGAAAATGTTACTATCTGACACAGTGCTTGCCCTTGCAGATAAATGGCTGGTTACACACTAATAAGGACCATTGGTTTTATATTTTTTTTTGGAAAGGGAAAAAAGTAGATGTCTAGTAATATTTTAAAAAGCATTGGGGCAGGAATTGGTACAAGTGTAAAAATCTGGCTAGGCATAAACCAATATATACTCTAGAAACCTGACCTGTCATGCAACCTCTACTGAAGTTTTGACACTTTCAGCATAGTATTATTTCATTAATTCTATAAAAGGCATTTTTAAAGTTAAGCTCACTCTCCCAAATTTTGTGGTTGCAAAGGTTACGGGTTTTGTTGTTGTTGCGTTTAGAGCAAGCCTCCTCCAAAACCCTTTCCTAAGACACTGTTATCACTCCTGTTCTCTTAGCTTGGAAACAAAGACTTTAGAAGCATGTCTACATGAGAGGAAGGAAAAAAAAAAAACCGAACTGGTTTACTGCTACTTAAAAAGAACATCAAATAAAAACATAAATAAAGCAAGGAATATGCATAGCCCAGGTCACTATAGGTCAACAACTCTGACACAAGCAGATTACAGCTCCAGACATTTTTTTCATGAAGTAAATAGAAATATTTGTAGTTTTTCTGGAAACAAGTTTTCAGTGGGAGATAGTGTAAACTCAACTTTCAGCATGTTGTGTATTCTTTTCTTCTACTTGAAAGCATTTAGTGGTCCATGAGAATAAAGACATTAAGTTTTCCTACAGCTTCTTGAACTTCTGTGAACAAATGCCATGGCCCAGGTGACTGCTACCTCATTTACAAAGCGATGTTATGAAGCAAAATAAGGTTACAGTGCTTCAGGAGGTGCACACCTGGGTCTGCAGAGACCTGCAGACCATGCAAGCACTCCAGAGATAGCTCAGAAAGAGCATATCAAAAGACTGGATTCTCTGATCAGCATTTCACAGAGAGAGCAGTCAAAAGTACTTAGCCCCGGATTGTTGTTTTTAAATTTTGCTCCATTTTTACAGCTTACAAGAGGCATCACATTTATTTATGCACTATGCCATCCTAGAAATTCACGTGTGAGTCTTTTTACCACTTCAAGAGTTAAAAAAAACCTCACAACTATCCAGCCAAGTAGAGACTGCACGTCCTGTACGGGTATACAAAGGCTCAGGTTATCATCACCTCAGACATGTAGCAGTAGGAACAAGGAGCTATACTAGTTATATAAGAGACATTATTTTCACACTGCATGAAGCTTGACACAGAGTAACAATTCTATTTTCTACAGAAAAATGTCAGGTACAGCTCCATAGTTCTACACACTTTTGCCACTTCAGAACCTATGCAAGGTACATCAGGTTTGAATTAAAATACTGTATTTGCCAAACAATGAGGAAAAGGGTAACATTTCACTAAAGGCTAGCCTGTTTCAGACACAGCCAAGTTTAAATATCAATGAATTTAAATATACCAAGTAATTCGCGCATAAAAGCAATTCAAGAAGGTGCAGGTAGAGAGGAAGGTGAACATCTCAGTGTGAGGAAATCCCGATGTACACTGAAATAAGGTAAACTGTAACAACTGTATCACTAACCTAACTGTGGCAGCCAAGCTGCTAACCCCCAGGACAGAGCTACACACGCCTGGAGAAAGCGAACGGAAAGTTAAGTTTATCAGCATGGAACTTACACACAAGGCAACGTTAAAACCAAAGTCTCATGATTCCAGTTTTAAGACAAAGAGCTTTTACCACAGCAAAATGTTTGCCGTAAGTAGAGAGTGGAGAAAGATCTGCAAAGGCTTCGATACCCCTTACACAGGTCAATCGTTTATCTGCGTTTAGGGCGTGGTTTCCCAAACTGTGGCAGGAGGAGGGGTGCAACCATTTCTTTGCTCTCAGTCCTGTCTCCCCACTCTGCATCTTGCCCTAGTACCAGCATCCCACAGCTGGATTAGCAAGTTACCCATCTGAGGAGCAGATTTTTTTTTTTCTCTCTCCTAAGTGCCTGGCCACAAAAGCACGAGTGCGGGCACAAAAAGGGCAGCAGGGACAAACTTACGGTAATAGCTTAGTCTTGATATAAGTTGATCATGAAATCATATTCTTAGTTAATATTTTACTAAAAAATGAAATGCAATAGGAATTCTATCCTATCCCAGTGCATCAAATTAAGATGGGATTCTTACCAGGGAATCAACTGAAGTGAAAAAACTGTTCTCTGATTTTGTTAAATCTTTAAAGTTTCCAGTTCTTGAACTGAGCAAAATAGCTCAGATTTTAACCAATATAGTTGAGACAGTACCAGCTTTACAATAAACAATTTAATGGATGTTGAAATCAGTTTATCATATGTACATGTTAGAATGATTAGCTTTGGCACCTGCATGAACTATCAAGGTAAGTGCTCCATTACTCATCTGCTGCTTAATATTCACCAGGCACCTCATGAGTACGACACAACCCAGGATTACCGCAATTCAGCGTAGTTCAGTGACAAGCAGATGAAATTTCTCTCTCCGATTCTGACTTCTGCTGGAAGATGAAAATGAATGATGGCCACGCATCAAGATCTTTGTGGTGCTGCTTCCTGCCTAGGCAGGAGCAAGCCAGGGGAAAGGCCCTGGCTTCGTAACCGGCACAGGACACGCACATTTCTGCCCCATCACGTGTACTGGGGACTCTACTGATACAACGTATTTACAAAGCCTTGCAAATCCAGGACCCTGCTTCACATAACTGCATTTAGTTAATCCAACATTGGTTTTAAAACACATTTTAGAAGCCTCTGTCTTGAACATATTTCAATGCTGAATTAGTGAGAATTATTTGAAACAGTTGTCTATAAAGCAGTACAGGTATTCTCCCAGAACGATCAGTGAAACATTTAATCTGACTATAACAAAACTCACAGAAACTGAAGCCAGTGAAGCTGTTAAATGTAGAAGGAAAACAAAGTCTCATGGCATACGAAGCAAAGTAGCTTTACAAATGTAATTTCCTTTCAAAAACAAGCAAATTGGGACCATCCTATTTGAACATGTATTTAAAAATACATCTTTTAACATCACACAGTTTTCATTTTTGTCACACAGGAATCTTTTTCCAAGAGGGAAATAAATACCACACAATACCTAAAAAAAAAAATAATAAAAAAAAAATTGCTGCCTTGCCCCTGAGGTGCTAATGTTTATAGCATTTAAAAAAAAGTTTCTGGTGCAAGAAGGAGATGCACAAAGGTGCAAAAGTGCCTTTTTCTTTTCAGAGCAGTGAAAAGTACAGCTTGCCTCTTTTCTAGGATGCTTTATATACTTAACTCTTGTATTTTGTAATCAAAATCTGTATCTAAAATGGCAGTGTTTATGCATACACAATAGATTCAGTGCTCTGACCTCATCAAAATGCTGAACATAGGAGGGAGAGAGAAAGGCCTGAAAGGGGCTTTCTTCTGCTACCCTCAAACCTAGTTACATTGCCTGTAGCAATAGCAGAATTATTTTCTTTCTAAGCTTTAGGAGACCTCATAGGAAGAGGCTTCAAATATATAATTTGTCACTGAGACAGTTTAAGTGATTATGGTTTGAAGTATGGCTTTTCACACCACAGTTTTGCTTCCGATTTTTAAAGTTTAAAAACTCAAAAAGTTCCACAGTCCAGTTCAAGGTTTTGCGGTTTCCAAAACTAAACTTTAGTCTCTATGAAAAAGGACAGAACTTTACCTGCCTACTCCTAAATTAAGTTTAGCTTTTTGCACTAATACGCCATGTATTATTAAATATGCTTGTTAATTAGGTGCCTGTGAAGCTATAACTTAACATTATTATAGTTTTGCACTCTACAACAAAATTAGACATTTTAAGCATTTATTCATAGGTAGGTAAGGAACTGGTTCTTTAAGCAAAAATTGCTATAAATTTATAAATACAAATAGTGCTTATGTTTTCTTCATTCATGCTTGAACAGATTACAAACTGAATACAATGAAGTTACGTTTAAGCACCCCACATAGACAAGAGGGATAAAAGAAAAGTTTGCTGGTATATACTATACTTAGTTCCAAGACACTATAAGTTACTTTTTCACTGTTCAGTGTTCCCTAACTCTGCATTAGTTTTAAGGCTATATATACAAATATGTATATTTCAAAGTTAGGGAAAGACAAATATAGCAAAATGCATGGTACTACATTTTCCTATCAAAAAGTAATTATACACCAAGTTTTGATTCCGTTTAACTGCAGTAAATGTTACAATCTACTTGTTTTACTGATTTTCCTTTTGGGGAATCTGCCTACTAGATGAGTAAACTACATATTAAATACAATACTCTCAACCAAAAAGACAATACAAGGTGCACAAAACAGCAGTTTTGCAAACACGATTGACTTGAAAACTTAATTTTTGTATGCTCAATGGGAGAAAGCTAAGCTTAAATCAAATTAGTTTATTATCTTATAAAATTTTAAATTAGAATTTTAAACAACAAACAGTTAAATATTGTCAACATGCTATATCTCAAATCACAATTACTGTTTAACCACTAGTCTCTCATTCTAAGTGGGTCAATTAAAAACACACACCATAAAATGTTAAAGATTGTCAGGCTTTGACAAATGTATTTTTATCAAACAGTAGGCAAATTCAAACCGATGCACATCTTCAGTGGGGAGAAAAAAAAAAAACACAAAACACCAAAAAGCCTGAAAAAACCCACACTTGTAAAAAATAGGGTAACGGATTAATCCCACATCATCCTCTAGCATATGGCTATGTCTTGGGCAATAATCAAAATCCTTCCCATTTTAAAAATGGGTACCAATTAATAAAAATATTATTCCACAAGTAAAATATCATTTACAATGGCACTGACATTTTAAAAGGCAGGAAAAAAGGAATTACACATTTATGGATAAATTTCTTGTTTGTTAAATCAAGCTTTATTGATAAAATGGAATTCAAAGTATTTTACTTGGAACAGCAGCAGACCCAGCCAATCAGGATTGTAAAAATGCTGCAGACTCCTACTGCAATGTAGGAAGCCGCCTGTTCATGCTCAGTGATTAGTACTTTCAGGTAAGGGTTAATGAAAAAAGAGGTGCAAAGAATCAAGGCATTCTAATCCCAAGGTTCATATGCGTATGAACACGATACTATTAATAGGGCATGATTTAACTCCCACTGAAGTCAAAATCGGAACTCCCTTTAACTCAATGTGAGAGCAGGAGTGTGTCCAAGAGAATGAGATACGTTTGTTGAAGAATGTGCACTACTCTTAGTTATTTTTCCATTGCCAAGCAAATTCACACACTGTAGTTTCTGGTAAGTTGCCCAAAAGTTCAGCTTTCATATAAAACAAAGTTATCTTTACAGTTTTGTGCACCTCGTGAGCACCTAGCTGGCTAGGCTGCTGCTCCTTGCAATCCAAAACCACAACATGAATTTAAAAGGGATATATATTGTTGCATCACACAAGCCAAACATTTCTTCTAACCTTTATAGTGATTTAAAGCAGTTCATAATTAAATATGAGCATTTTGTACAAAGACAATTGCACTTTACAAAAACAAAATCATACAACATAAATTGCTGGAGTCTGATTTACAACATGAATTATGGTTTGAAATCACGTTTACAGAAGTCTGTTTTACAAAAAAGATCAGTTCCTGGGCTAGATGTCATACTGCTGTAGTCACTCTCACCAACACATCATATTTCCTTCTTTAATTAAGGTTGAGGATGGATGTTAAGAAGGGTCACTGAGGTTGGGCTGCACTTTCAGTTGAAGGATGAAACGTGAACTCCACAGCTAGATGAGCAGTTTTACCACATGTCATCAGTTGAGGCAGAATCCTTAAAGAAAAAAGAAGGAGCCCTTTAAAGTCTGGAGTGCCCATAGTTACAGTAGTTTCTGGATAAACTAGACTGAAAAGGGTAAAGACTTGAATCATTTTAGGAGTCTGTTTTCTCTCCCCTTTCAAAAACAGCATTTAAGAAGTATCTAAACCCCATAGATGCATAATTAATGAAGCGTTAGTGCCAGGCTATTTCAAAATCTGACCAAGTGTTTTGTAATAGCCTTATCAATCCTCAAAATAATATCCTAGGAACATTATTCAAAAACATTCCCAGAGAAGTTAGAAATAATACAAAATGGATACACTCACTACACAGGTGTGTTAACAGAGCAGGATGTGCCTCATGCCATTCATTACTATCATTACCACCATTTATGTTTTGAGCCCTCCCTCACCACGTAGAAGATACAGTCTTCAACTGACACACTATTATAATTCAGACCAATTTTAAGACTCGTAATTTAAGGTTAGAGAAGTGTTGTTTGGGCAACTGCAGGAAATCCTAATTCTGGATGGTAATAAAACTGCAAAGACCAAAAAAACCCTGTGTGCAAGAAAAAAAAATTGGAAGCAGAGACTTGCCGTGCTCTAAATCATAACTGTATGGCCACACTACACGGCATTACAACCATGCATCCAATACCTGAGTAACTCTAAAATTCGGTCCCTTTAGGCCCCACAGGCAACAGTGGATTTTGTGTAACTACCACACCCCTGAAAAATGTTTAACTCTGATTCCTGCTATCAGTTAAAAAAAAAAAAATCCTAGTACAAATCAAATATTTAATTCTAGTTTTTTTTAATCCATTTGCCTTTGTGTCATGTCTGTTTTCTTTTCCGTTGCTTAGATTGCTCTATGTTCAGCTTTCTCTAACTGCCTCATCAGCTGGGTACAGAAGTTAACACCGCAACTAACAAGTGGGACCACAAGTAACAGCTAAGTCAGCAGCACTGGCATCAGAGCAAACCGCTTCTGCACAGCACTATCTGGTTGGTCCAGCATTACCTGCTACCTTCCCCCAAATAATTAAGGGCCACGATGGGCTTTAACAGCAGAGTATGCTGGTGCTTCCACAGCTACACTTCCGTATCATTACTAAGACTACAGGAGGTAGCAATATTACCCTTCTTTAAAAGCACTGCCTTACCAATTCCTTCGAGAGAAAAGAGGCTAATTAAGTCTCTAGCAATGCCATGTATGACAACTTCTTAGCACTAAAGTTCTGCACCCTTCATTCAAACTTGCACACAGAATTCATTACAAACCATAAAGAAGAACAGTTGGCACGGAGGTGTAGTTAAAAAAGAGTTCACTAAAATTACCCTTTGCAGAAGTACCACCTCCAGTTTTTTCTTCAAGACCAGAAGTAGCAAAGGAGAGCAATTATATGAAAGACCAAAATGGCTGTTTCTTTCAAGTACAAGAATGAAGAATAAAAGCAGTAGTGAGTAAAAACACAGGAGCTGCATGCCAACTATTCAGTATGCAAATTTCTGTATCCAAGTTGCCAACGTCATCACAAAACAAAGAAGTTTGTGTACTGTACATTTGTAAACCAGTAACACACTACAGAATGTATTTTGAAGGTAAAGTATCCTCTTTCAGCCACCATTTAGTAATTTTTATGCTAAAGATACAATGAGAACTGCCATATAAACCAGCACCAAGTTGTAAAGCCAAAAACAAATTCTTTATGTCTGGATGCATTTCACTTATGTCAAATTTAATCATGTAAGTAATTTTTGCTGATAGGTAAAGGATCAATTTAACTACTTTATGAAGTACAGCACCTTTGGGGACAGAATGTTATTTCCAGTGATGTAAATGCAATTGGGATCACTGTTCATATTTTAGTTTTCATTTTTTTCTCCACTGACAGTGGATTCGTGCCACTGTGATCACTGACATCTAAGAACCTAAACTTCTATGCTTGCTGTAAGATGCTCTATGCTTAAGAATAAAAGACCTTACACAGTCCATTTGGAAAATTAATATATCCTTAAAGCTGATAGTTACGAATCTGTTTAACCTACAAAAATAGCCTTTTTCATCTTGAACTTGGGGAAAAATGTCCCCCATAAGAGGAGAAAAAAAAAAAAAATACATGACTTTTGCACAATTTGGCAGGAACGCATTTGGAAACCCAGGCAGGATTCAAATAATGAAATTCCAGAGGACAAACGAATCAACCATTCTGGAGTCTTGAGATTATGATCAGCAGAAGGCAGCAGAAAGCAATTACAAAACATAGACCAAAAAGCACATTATTGCTATTGCTTCTTTGGGGAAGGGGTCTTTAAACAAGAACTAGCAATATGTTTCTTTACAAAGCAACTAAAATAATTGGGGTGAGGGGAAAGATAATGTAAGAGAAAGGATACTTACAGTATCATCATTCCTGTAGGGGTTCAGTCTGTTATAAACAGCTTCAATCACACTCCGTCTAGAGCAAAAAACAAAACAAAACAAAACACCCACAGGATTTTAAGGTTGTATCTTTTTTTTTGTTAAAGTCAAATTCCCTAAATACAATTTTAAACGCAAACTTTAAAATTCACAAAACCAAGTTTACTGCAAGTTAGCACTAAGTGTCATTAAACACTGAACACAGCTACCATATCCTTTAAAACCTCTCAGTTCAAGACAAACAAGGCTGAATACCACCCAGAGTTCAGCAGGAAAAGACCACAATCCGACATTCAGATGAGGCTGTGATGCTGCTTGGTGCTGCATCTCTTGACTTTGAAAAAAGGAGTTAGAAAACTTGGTGGACATTAAATGCCCTGGTCATCTGTGTGTCTGATGAACACTGCAGTAGTACTACTTGTATTATGGCACTTTCAGAGGGGAATGTATTTTTTTTTTATTTTCTGGATGCACAAAAATTGCATTCTGAAGAACATTTTTGTTCATGTTACACTCTGAAATGTACCTTCCATGTGCAAACCTGGAAAAATGCCTTCTGAAGCCATGTTCTTTTACAGTAGTAAGTCCAATACTCTCCTGCAACTTTTCTCAAAAAAATTTAAACTGCACCTAGCAGTTCTACATGTTGCATCATCAGACTGAGAATAATTTTGTCTGGTAAAAAATATTTTTAAATTAATTCAAGTCTCTTGATGGTTTCCTCCTTTAAAAAAATTTGCTTAGCATATTTAAGATAGCTTGTAATTAACATTCATCTCTGGGATTCTCAGCTTTTCTAATAATGACAGGAAATATACTGATAAAATATTAATAGAAAAATTGTAAACAACATGTAAACAAGCAACATTGGTTTGTTTTTTTTTTTTTTTTTTTTTTTTACACAGGGTGAAAAGGTTTTGTTGAAAACCGATATTCAAAAAAAAAAAACAAAAACAAAAACAAAACAAAACCAAAACAACAAAAAACAAAATGTGAGGCTGAAGGAAGAGGAAGCCTTTGCCTTACCCAGCATACAAGGAAACAACTTTGGAGGGGGAGCAGGAAGGAAAGAGGGGAGTAGAAGACAGGAATTATAGATTGGACTTTAAAAGCAACTTTCTTCCAGATCCCCTTCTGCAGAACCAAGTATGACAAGGTAGCAGACTACAACTGCAATACAAAACAAACTTCAAAGAACAACTTTTTTTAACTGCTCATGAATGCATGCAGAGCAACCACGAAGGAGTGCATTAGAAGAAAAAAAGCAGATGGTAGGCTTTATAATCATCCCATAACACTGAAAAGTCAGAAACTACCATGCAGCAGTATAAACATCACAGTGAATCTAGTGAATGATTGCAGGACACCAAAGGAGAGGCTGAATTTAGAGCAACAAAACCAAGCAATTACACACAAAGTACATTGCATGTATGAACTGGAAAGTTTCCCCTATCTTTCAAGAAATATCTATCTTTGCTGCTAAATAAAGGTAGGTTTCTTGAAAAGCATTTTTCTTCGCAATTGGCAGCAGTGCTTTGAGTTACGCTAACACCCAATTAAATCCGTATTTCTATCAATCCCTACTCAAACTAGCACCACTAAGACACAAAATCCCATGGAAGTCAGTCACTTCCTCACAACCATGATGCTACTGCGAGTCAAAGGAGATTGAGAAAAATCAATGTATATGCCATATTTCATGAGTATCTGACTTCATATTTCAAGACTACAGCAACACATCCTAAATAGATGCTGCTATTATATATAAAATTCCTACCTCTTCTTTTCCTAGCCAAATAGTTCATGTAAGAATAATTTTGTTTTGCAGAAGTGATCTTTACAGTTCAGTTATTTATTCAATTACAGTCCTAGAGTCTTCATGTTTTGGTGTAACAATACAAAAATCATACTCTGAAGGGTTAAAAATATAGTCTGCACCATATATGCCCAATCCATTTTAACACAGCAGATTCACGAACAATCTTTTGAACCAAAAATCACTTGGTTTGGTGTGGAAATGAGCTAAGCACATTGCTTCCTTAAAGACTGAACATTGATTTGAGACGTCACAGAGCATCAACACGGGCTCTTCAAGGACAAAGCCAGCCTACACAAGGCTGTAAATTTAACTTCCCGCTTTTCTTTTTTGATAGACTTCTATCTGTTTTCAGATTTGTCACAAGCAGAGATACAAAGCAAACTTAAGCAATTACAACACTGCTTTAGCTACAGACAAGAAAAGAAAGCTGCCAAGCAAAACATCATATGGATATGACTTCTTGTTGAAGTGCAGAACTACGTATCCAAGTAACTATTACAGTCAGTGCATTATTACTGCATCTTCAAATGCAACCTCCCACCCAGAAAACCCAGTTAATTACAAAAACACAGACACACTCAGGCCACCCTTAAAAAACACTCAAGTCTTTCCCAAAACTACAGTTTGACATTTAATATTAATAGAAATGCATAGTTAACTCTGTTCTTATGCTTGTCCTTTTCATTCAGAACAACCAAATAACGAAAATTAAGAGAACAGATCATCACCTTTTGTCACGTACCCTTCCTCCCTCCCCCCACTTTTAAGAGTGGCCTTACAGTTAAGTTTGGATTTAAGTCAAAAACCACATTTACACTGATGTGAACTCACTTGCTTGCCAATTCACCCCCTGGCGGGAGGTTTGGGATGCTCTCAGTTGCTAACGTACGCATCACGTGGACTAAGTCTGGGACTCCTTCACCCTGCTTCTTTATGATCTCTGGGAATCAGAAGTACTTTTTTTGTAAGTGCAGTCCAAATTTAACTTCAAAAGATTGAAACACTCAGTTTTATAAAAAGGCAGCTTAACTTCTGTTAATATATATATATATATGTAAAAAGATGACAGACCATATTCAACATGGTAATTGTTAACTTTGGTTCCGTAAGAAAAAGAACCTGTAACAGATTTGACAAAGATATACTGCTAACATGCACACTGGTTTTAGAAATACACATCTACCTAATAAAAGTGGGGGAAAAAAAAAAATCTTTAATGGCTTTTCTGCTATACATTAGATAGGAGATGTAATATCTTCCCAACAAAATGCCCTGGGCCTGAGGCAGATATTAACTTCAGCTTTATCGCTGCAACAGAAGATAAAAGATTATTGCCATCATAGAAAGCATATTTTCACAAAACAAAAGGTCAGACATATTAAAAAAACTCCCATGGCTGTATGTACATTAGCCAATACTTGTACCTCACTGCATTACAGCAACATGCACATTTTAAGAACTATTACATACAAATTAAAAGCCAGGGACATCACATCTAAGAGACAGCTCTATCCTCAACTCGAGGCATATGTGAACATTGGGCAGTTATTTAAAGCTGATCCACTCCAACTTCTGCGTGAAGAGAACCTGTACTGTAGCCACAGCCACATCTGCTAAGAAATTAATTCTTTAACTTTATTCTTAGGCCTGGTTTGGTTTGTTTTTTTCCAAGTCAAAAGCACACAATTTTATCTGAACTCAAAAAAGATTTCAGCCCATACCACCCCTGAAGAGTCACTCTTTAAATAGGGATTGTATGAAATTTAAAGAAAAAGCACATTTGTTAAAATGCATCTCATTGGTTTATCTGTAAACATGAGCTCTTAGAAATTATGAAAGATAAGAATTATTAAGCTTTGGTGCTGTTGATCTTCAAGTGAATACTGCATCACACATACAATATGTGTACATATGTGCACGTACATATACATGCACATATGTACATGCACACTATTCTTCATGTAATAAAACATTTACACAGCTTGAAAAGTAGTTGGAGTTCATCAGTACCACTTCTGAAAAATACTATAGCATTCAGTTTTTGCCCTGAATGATAATTCCAGAACAAACCAAGTTTCCATGGTTTTTTTTTTAAATGAGATAAAGCAGATTAAAAGCTTTTAAACCAACAGGTATAGAGTCCTTTTTAGTTTAAAAATTAAAAACAACAACTGTGAATTACTTTTTGAGCACGTAATAGTTTTTCAGGGCTGTGTGTTTACAAAAAGCATCAGCTCTATTTTACAGTCAGGCCCTGTAAATTATTTGCAAGGTACAGTGGAAACACTGTTTAGCCCTCAACCAGTGTCAAACTCTGAAACACAACACTTTAAGCTGTTTACCTCAAAACCTACATTTTAAATACATGACACCACGCACCACAGACACCTCAAAAACTTGCCATTTCCTCAAAATCTATAGCCAAAATTCATTTTATCATCTAGTATTAAGTAATCTACCACTCTTAAATCTGAATAAGAAGCAAAGGTCTCAGATTTGGTTTGCCAAGTTCCTTTATTGTGCAATTTTGAACATCTAGTAGATTCTACATTGTGCTAGTGCTAAAGTTCTGCTGTACAAAAATAAGGAATTTATAGTTTACCTAATCTACACAATTTCACAACCTGTAACTGCAGTACATTTAACATACAGTCTCCACTAAATGAATACATTTATATTTTGATAAAACTATAGATACAGACTGAATGAACACTGAAGACACAACAAATGGAGTCGGTCTGCTAGCTGTGTTTGATTTATTGGAATTATTTTCTTTCGATACAACTTACAACCCTCCCCCCAACCTTTAATTTACTTTTACACCGTCTACACATTTTCATGGCACCAAGTACTGGAAAGTGTACTTACAACCCTAAAATAAAGGTTCAAAACATATCTGCTTTTTCATACTCTGGGAATTTCACACAAAGTTTAAGAAAAAGCCACTGCTTTGACTTTGTGAAAATATGGGAAGGAACACAGAACACCTAACTTAAAATTACTGATCTCTATATAGGTACAAATATTGCAAGGATTAGCTATGGAATGTTTTTATTTAAAAAACTGAACAGAAAAAAAGCTTAGACAAGTTTCTTTTTAGAGTCAACACATCAATAACACATATTAGTGCAAATAGCAGCAACATATTTTGGAATAACTGATTACTTCTACCATGAAATTCACATGATATTTTAGGAGTAACACTGATTTATTGCAAGTAGTGGCACAAAGATACTTTTCCACACTTGCTGCTTCGTCCATTGCTATTTGTTGTAGCTACGAATCTGGAGCACAAACATCAAAATTAGTAAAAGGAAAGTCCTAAGTGGCACAGTACGTAGAAAACTTTCCATGTTTTTAAAAATTTGAATTGCCTCTCCTTATCCAAAACGACCATCAGTACTAGGCCCTATTCAGTCTTAAAATCTGCACTACTTCTTAACAGTATAAAGATATATTCTGGGTGGAGGGGAAAAAAGCACAACCAGAAAAAAATGCATATTAGTAAGTATCAGATCTCATTATTTGTTGGACTACATTGAGGACTGAAGTGCATAAAAATACATAATATGCATTTCCACCAAGTTTCCATTTCAATGAATTTTAATTTTAAATTGATATTACAGATTAGTAAAATAATTCTAAAAGTACTCTACTTTTTCTAGTTCCTTCAGCTGAAGGTTAGGCTTTTAAAGTTAGCACTGCCATTCTTACGAGTGTCCTAGAATAACAGCAAGATTATTCACTGTAGTGTTGAAAGTTTCAGATGCTGCAGCAGTCCTACCTTACTAGCCAATACTGCATAATCATTTACACTGGGAAACAGTAACTGCACAAGAATTAAGTTAGATGTAACAAAGTCAGTCAACTCCTGTTCTTGATGTTCTGCTTTAGTTCAACCTCTCAACTTCCCTCATGAACAAGACCTAAAAGACCAAATTCTGCACACAGCTGATACAAATTATTGCTGGGTTGAGTAGTGATTGCTACATATTCATTAATTTAAATATCATCTCTGTGCAACAATAGACAAAAGATTGATGACAACCCTAAAAAAGAAGCAAAGACCCTTGAGGGGAAGTACAATGTATTTCCTCAAGTTATTCAGGCATCACCCCATTAAATTAGTATTAAAGTGCTTTATAACTACATACAGAATCCTTCTGCCTCTATGCAAGTATCACACTTTGCACATTCCTGAAATTTTGTATTTTTATAAATGCAAAGTATTAGCAGCCAAATTCACTGTATGTACCATAATCACGTGCAGTTCCAGTGTTTAGGTTCTTCATTTACAAAATGAAGTGTCTGTACAAAAATGTCAGTTTTCCTCATCATAATACTCCTGGGGTACAATGAGGCCTGCTGAAGACGCAGCCTTAAGTTGAACATATTTTCATATTCTAGGTCAAAAGTTTGTCTGAACTCAGTAATACTTGCCCAAAATAGGAGAGTTAGCATGCTGTAAATTGCAGTGTGAACTTACAGCATACTTGTTCTTCACCAATACTGTGAGTGGGCATACATAGTAAGCTCCTCAAATGCCTGGTGCAAAACTGCTCACTACTTTGAAATGGAGAAAGCCATGTGACACAACTCATGCAGTGTTACCATACACTTGCATACTCCTGCTATGCTGTCAAGAAGATTCACACTATTGCTTGCTGTGCACCAACTTCTCCTATTAGGCAAGTGTTACATTAAAACACAGAAATGTCTGTCTGGACATTTGTTCAGGGGCAAAACAGACGCATTTTGCCAATACCCTGCAAAAAAGGACTTTGAAAAAGGTGTTAATTTCTGAAAGAGTACCTACACAGGTAGTAAGTGCTTTAAAACTGTACATTAATTTGTCTGAACCCAGAATTCCCATGTAGGCAAGTTCTCTGAAATTTCTGAAGCTGCACCGAGTTATCTTCATGCAAGCTAAGGAGGAAAAAAAGTGCACAATATATTCCTCTTACTAATCTCTGAATTAGTAGAGAAGAACTCTGCGTATCGTGCCCTGTGTGCTATTAAGGATTCTTAAGAGTATATACACATAACTAGACTTGTAACATATAAGTCTAGAGGAGTCCACTTCAACAAATAGACTGAACCTATGCCAATAATGCATACAGCATGTCTTACACTTCAGAAACAAACTCCATGCTGTGGCCATTTGCTAAATACCAAAAGGCACCACAAATCCAGTTTTAATGAGGAATCATTTAAATCAAATTGATTTGAAATATCACTTTTAGTTAGGTGATTCAAAATGCCCAAGAGTTGCAGTTTCCGTTTAAAGTTTGAAGACTCCCAAAATACAAATTTAAAGCAAAATTTGGAAGTTATTATCAAAGTAAGATGAACTCTCAGCTTTTGTTCATCATGAATGCCTAAAGATTAGCTTTGACAAATTCCTGACGTACTTTCAAATAAGTAAATATGTTAGCAGGTGCCTGAAAGATGACAGTAATCAAGCTGTAACCCTACCATAAGAGATAATAAAATATTATGGCTAATTTGTGCATAACTATATGGAAAAATGGCACTCAAATTACCATCTTCACCAACACTTTGAAGGATATTCTGATTATTTAACTCCATATGACAGGAACAGGATTTACTGGTTGAAAGTTAGCGCTGTCAACAGACATGTCATGAAGAACACGAAGGAATTATTTCTCTGCCATCCTGAATAATTTTCAGGGCTACAGGCTGCTGCACTTTCACAGCAGAATTTTTTCAGGACATACAGCAGGACTATATAAGTACCTTTCTCCAAGGTACACACTACATGGCCAATGGCACTTGAAGGTCTATTAAAAAACCTGTATGAGTTAAGAGTTTAGTTGTTGGAAGGGGAAGGGGGCCAGGGGGTCTGTTTAGAAACAAAGTTACTTATTTTTTTTTAAATGATCCACCTTCTACTCTGCTTTCCAGGTACTTGTCCAACTCTGCCTCTCTTTTCACTGCCTCTGGCGATACCTTTGGTGCATTCGGAAAACAGATCAATATCACACTCATGTTGTCTCGACTTCCCTGGTGGAAAAGAAAAAATTATTTGAGAACATATACACACCAGGCTAAATACACATCAAAGAATTTTACACACAAAAATCCACAAATCATACTGTATTAGAATATAACTTTTACTACTATGGATTAATATTATCATTAGCCTTAATTTCCCCCTACCCCCTTACCGAATTCCAGAAGCCTGCCCATTCATTCAGTACAACTTACAAGTCACTTTGTTCTTTCCTTTCTTATGGTCTGAAGACTACATGGAGCCAATTACAGACAGCCCATTGTCTTTTTAAAAACTGACATTAGTAATGAGTGATGTGTAATTACAAAGTTGTGTTCCATTTTGTTTTAAGTACTATCCAATCATTTTGGAAAAATAGATGAATTAGATGGGTAAACAAAACCATTACTGCTTAAAAGCACTGAGTAGGAAGGTGCTGAATTCATACAGTGCTCCCACCTAAAATCACAGCTATTAGGGTGAAGATTTTTCCCCATTTCTTTTAAAACAAGAAAAGTTACAAGTGAGAGAATCTGTTAAAACACCAGCTGGGAGAGGCCCAGGCCTTTACAAAAACATTCTTTGAAGTGGAAACACTTAAAACTCCAACTAAATGGAACCCTAGTACTTGAATACCTTAAAATACAAACACATTCTGCTTATGAAAACTGTTTAGTTTACTTTAAATACCCCTGTGCTCTGATCTACAAACATGCATCCATATGCTTAACTTTTAACACCAATTAAACCCACTGAAGTCAGCAAGATCAAGAACAAGCCAGTGTTTAAAACAAGAGTATATGGATGTATGGGGAGGTGCTGACAGTTGGCTACAGCAAGCTGACAGCATCCACAAGCCACTGTTCTTTCCCTGGTATTTATTTTCAGGATTACCAGACAAAAATTGTAAACAAAAATATATGCATTATCAATCTGCCATAGTGTTGGAAAGCAATTACATTTTTCCAAAAAGGAAACCATGATCTTGTTAGTCATGTGGCAAGGGCAGAAATGCTGTCTTGTCTCTTTAGTATCAAAAATGGTGGCTTTTTACATTATACTTATAGTTTGCCTTTGCAAAATTATGCATCAAGCTATGAAAATACTTCAAATATCTTCTGTAATTGCACCATCCTGCTCCTTATTAATACAAAGTAGAAGTTATTGTAGACAACATTACAGATCTGTTAAACAAAACAGTCCCATCTCCTACATAAACTAGTTTCAGAGCTGTATCACACAACACTAAGTAAGAAATACAGTAATTAAACCAGAATAAAAACTAACTTAGGAAGTCATGTCATCATATAGTCAAGAAGAAATTTTAAACTTCAAAATACGAAGTCAAGTTTAATTCATTCTGCATTTATCTTGGTGTAATTATGACAGTAACGTTACTACTACATGCCCAAGAAAGGAGGGGAAAATTAGGAAGAGAAAGAATACTCTCTAGCCTGATTAAGTCTTAAGAGTTAAGGTTTTCTAAAGTATGTTGTGAAACAGAAAAAGGGAGTTACTGTCCTTAGCTTGCCCATAAATTCCCATCAGCTTCTAGTTTCCCAGTGATCACAACATATCGGTACATGATTTTGAACTCATTAACCAAAACCACCCAGAAAGCCATGTTTCTGTTGTGTGTTCATTCCTCCTCTATCACCATTTTTGTGGCAATCACCATTCGTGTCAAAAGTCATGTTAACATAAACCACTGGACACTTATGGACTGGAATCAAAACTTATTCTTAACTTGTTCATAAACTTCTATTAGTGAAAACACAGTAAACTTCTTCTCTCAAGTCTGGCTACCTTGTACAAGCAGGTGTCAACTATCTCATTGCAAACTTTCTCAAGGTCATCCGTGACTTCAAGTCTGGATCTTACAAAGTCACACAGCTCTTCATTTCCCATAACATCCCAGATACCGTCGCAGGCCAGGATGATGAATTGATCATCTTCTTCTGACCTCTCGATTTCATAAACTTCAGGTTCAGGTGAGACTAGCTGTTCTGTAGGACCTTTCCCATGGACACATTTGTAATCAAAGTCCCCAAGTGCCCTTGAAACAGCAAGAGAGCCATTCACACGCTGAATCATTACAGAGCCCCCTGCATTCTGTATACGCTCTTTCTCCAGTGGATTACTTGGTTTGTGATCCTGTGTGAAGAAGTGAACCTTCCTGTTTCTACAAAGTAAACCTCTCGAGTCTCCACAGTTGATGAAGTATGTGTGTTGGGGAGAAATCATGACACCCACAGCTGTTGACCCACTTCTGTCTGCGCCATGTTTCTTCTCGGAGATGACTCTCATGTGTTCATCAATTTGCAGAAAACCTGTTCTGATGCCGCTCTTTACACTTTCCACAGATGGTGGCCCATCTGGCCCTTTAAAATCCTGGTTGCTCGTGATGTGATCTAATAAATGCTCACAGCAGTACTTGGCAACCTGTGATCCAGCGTGCCCGTCATATACAGCAAAAAACGACCATCCATCAAGTCCATTTGGCAAACCAATCACAGCCGTATGTGCATCCTCCATTTCAACTCGCCAGCCCTGCATACTACTCAGACCATAACGAAGCCCATTCCCTTGCCCCTGGGCATTATGCTTCTCCATCTTTGGCTTGTCTAAAAACGCTCCCATGATGACTTCCCTTCAGGTCTAAAAAGAAAAAAAAAAAAAGGATTATTACAATATTTCCTCAACATCCTATTGGAAACTATTAAATAATAACCCAAATAATGTTAAGACAAATATACACAGATATCAAGCTCACTTTTCTGTGTCTCTGGAGTCAAATTTGCATTGCTTTCATCTAATTTAAACAAGGACACTGCTACTGGCTGAACTGCACTTTTCAAATTTTTGGAAGTTTTTTTCAGCTGGTTTACTTGAAGAACTTGTATTCCACTACCATTCATGGTTCTGACAAAAGTCTCTAGTATAAGCATGTACGAGATTAGTTTGAAAGAGGACTTGTTAACTGGCACGCATCTGAATAGCTATGTTCCCTGTGATTACTGAGCCAAGAGGGTGGACAAAATTTAACTGTGAGAAGAGTCTCTGGAACAGATTTTACCTGAGGCCCCAACTAAGCAGCTGCACTATCAGAAAATGTTTCCAGGGCAGTGGCATTCCCTAGATCCCTACCTGTCGGCCACAAAATCCTGCTCACACTATGCTTTTCCAACAGTGGTGGGGAAACAAAAGCAAACTGATTAGGTTTTCTTTTGGGGGAGGAGATTCAGGGGTTTTTGTTTGGTTGGTGTTTTTTTCTGTTTTGTTTCTTTAAACAGATAAAGTGATCTGAATGATCAACATGATGCCAGAGTCTGCATAAAGGAAGAGGCAACAGTGGAAAACCAGAAGCAGTACTCAGAAGGAACAGAGCAGCTGTCCCTTTAGACAGCAGCAAGCCATTAGTTTGGCTCAGCCATCTTGTGAAAGCTCATCCTTAGATTTTCAGTTAAATTACGCAGCAAGCTTCTCATATGTCTGTGCTGCAGATTTACTTCAAACCTTAATGTATTCATACTTCACTGAAAGACAACTGCCCCTGACAAGTCTAAGGAAATCTGTTTGGAAATAAAATTACGAGTATTGTAAACTCATACTTCGTTATTCAAGCCAGACCAACACACTGCACACCCAATCCTCCTCCAGCTCCCATCACTTCTATGTGATGCAGCAAATATTCGTGCTTAAGAGAATAAGAACTATATTTGCAGGCAGCGTAAACTGACTGGTTTATCTTCATGGCTTTCACACCCTAACCATTCAATCCACCCTTCTAATCCCCATCTGTTTATTTGTGCATTCGTTATTAAAAAAAAAAATCATACAAAATAGGTCATACATTTTACATACTTGCAAATTCTGCCCTGGGAAGCATGAGAGAGTGTGCAAATCACTGTTATACAATACAGGTAATGGAATAAGACTACGAGCTTTTCTATTTGAAGACGGTGGACAAAAATTAACTTTGAGAAGAGCCTCTGAAACAGATTTTACCTGAGGCCCCAACTAAGCAGCTGCACTAGCAGAAAAGTTAGTATACTATGCGGTTTAGGTGGTTATAACTTTACATGAAATACATTCTGATCAGTTTTCTAAGTGATAACATCACTTTTTGACAGCATGCTTTTATTGCAATACAGCTCTAGCTATGATACTATATATCCAACATTTCACATTGTCTATTCCAGACACTACCAACCTTTCTAAAACATCTGTATGTGTTAGAATAAACAGTGAAGAAATGTTTATATTGCATCTCACCACAACAGTGATTCAAATGTGAGGCACAGGGACTGGATATACACTCTTTGGCTCACACGCTTTGTTAACAAAAACAAAAGCCTCAGATACTTCAGCTGTAGGGAGAGACATGTCAGCAGCAGTACACCTCTGCTTCCTCTCACCCTAGCCTAGCATTCTGTCTCTTCTCAAGCGAACACAAAATATTGATGCCCACGCAAACTGTAACTAGCCAACAAAATATAGTGTACACTGGTCTTGCATCCTAAGCACATGCATGAGGTTCACACTGCTGCAGTTGCTAGGTAAAAAATACGACTTAGACTTTTTTATCTTTTCGTGCAACTCTAGTGAAGTCAGAGTGATCAAAATAATTACAGAATGTTGCCATAAATCAACTGGGGAATTATTTTGCAAAATAATAGGCTTTTTATTCATTTCATGATAGCAGCAGAGTTTAAACTAATGCCTACCACTTTCTTACTGTCAGAGAGAACATAAAATGGAATGCAGATACTCAATTATTTTGCCTTAATTTAGAGCTCAAAAAGCAGAAACTGTCCTGGCAAATACCACATTTTTGTGAAGTATTTTACAATATTACTGTGTTTAAAACAAAACAGAAACTCATTAGGAACAGGATACAGTTAAATTGACCACAACCACTGTCAAATTTGGACTGAAAAAGGCAGTCTTCCTTCTACTCTCTCACATGACTAGGTACACAACATTCAGAGTTGTGCTTTGTAAGCTGTTTGTCCCTATCAGTAGTTTGTCATGTAATCCACAATTAAAAATACATACATACAGACAGGTCGTATGCAGTTCTAGCAACTGATACAGAACTGTTAGCACTCTTCAAAAATTAAACAAGTCCACTCTCCATTTAAAACCAAGCTGCCTTATCCCTCCCCAGAAGGCAAAGTGAAAGTTGTTGCTATTCTAAATTAAGCCTTGTAGGTAAGATGCTGACACATGATTCTTCAAGGGTACACGCTACCCACCATAGATGTGAATACAACCAGACAGAAGAACAACCACAATGTGGTAACAACTTCTGCTTAGGAAGTTATTCACAGCCCATAGCATAAAGTAGTCACCTTCTGAAAACTGCAATAACAGACTGCAGTGGCCTTCCTTGCAACACTAGCTAATCATACTTCCACCAGAAGGCCAGTCTAAACCTGTAGGAGAGTAGGCTGGGTTTTCAAAATCCTCATTTTATCTAAAGGGAAAGCATAGCTTACTTGTGGATAGGATGAATACACCAAGCCTTCAGTTTTTCCATAATTTCAGTTTTGTTCAGAAAAATTTGAGTTTAATATGACCAATCTACGAATTCTTATGAATTGGAGGCTACCTGCTACTTCTACCCCCATACCCTTATGTATGGCTAAAACCTGAAGAATTTAAAGAGTCTTAGTTCTAACAAGGAAAAAAAAAATAATCTTAGTTTTAAAAGCAGGAATGGACACACACACACACACAAAAAGGCTGACATAAGAAAGCCATGCCTCCTTCCTACTAAAAATATCTTTTAGACCTGTTTTTGAATCCATATCTATGGAAACATCTTTCACACATCAGTGTCTACCTAAATCACTAGTATGTTCTCTTCATTCTTTCATGAGGTGGTTTGTGCACTATATTAAGTTGGAATGACACCTTTAGTTAAGCATATAACTCTGTACACAAACCAGATTAACCTAAAGCAGTGCAAGCGCCCAAGTTACAGCATGACTTTGTTATGTAATAACACTAAAGAGAGAAGTCAGATCCAGAACAATCTGCATGCATGATGTGCAAAAAAGCAACAGATTCTGAGCATGGTTTAACTTAACCCTCTCGTATTATTTTAGTCATCTTCCTAAACAGAAGTCTTCCCCTTATGGTTATTATTCTCAAATAATTATGCAACCCTTTCCCTTTCCCTTCTTAGCCCAGCTACGCATTTCTGCAATCATGTCAGAAAACAGCAGTCTCATCGCAGGAGACAGAACCAGTCCTCTATTCTGGAAGTCTCAACTTTCAGGATGCTTGAACAATGCACATAGGTACTAAAGCAGACAAGCATTCTTCCTATTCAAGCCAAAGTAAGAGAAAATGCACTTCATGATTTAAGTTTAGTGGCAAATGTACACCATCCATTTTTTTTTTTCTTAGAGAAGGACAGTTTGAACATTACTATAGCACCAGTGACTCCTAAAAAGATGAGAAGTGAAACATTTTCTTCAGAAATTGTAACTCTAAAACAACATCTGGCATGGCAACTGCCACAATGATTAGTCAAGCAAACTTCAATTTTAACCAATGATTCTTGGTATGTAGAATCACAGACTGGTTTGGGTTGGAAGGGATCTTAAAGATCATCAGTCCCACCCCCCCTGCCCCGGGCAGGGCCCCCTTCCCCCAGCCAAGGGGGCTCCCAGCCCCGTCCAACCTGGCCTTGAACCCTTCCAGGGAGGGGGCAGCCACAGCTGCTCTGGGCACCCTGGGCCAACACTTCACCACCTTCACATGGAACATTTTTTTCCCTACATCTACTCTAATCTACCCACTTTCACTTTAAACACATTATGCTTCATCCTACCACTACACCCCTGATACCTGAAAATGAGCCCAAGTCCCCCTCCCCCCTCCCTGCTTTCCTGTCCCCCCTTTAAGCCCTGGGAGGCCACTCTAAGGTGTCCCTGGAGCCTTCTCTTCTCCAGGCTGAACCCCCCCAACTCTCTCAGCCTGGCCTCATAAGGGAGAGGTGCTCCAGCCCCCTGATTATCTTCATGGCCTCCTCTGCACCCGCTTCAACAGCTTCATGTCCTTCTGACGTTGAGGGTCCCAGAGCTGGACCCAGCACTGCAGGGGAGGTCTCATGAGAGTGGAGTAGAAAGGGAGAATCCCCTCCTTGACCTGCTGGCCACACTGCTCTTGATGCAGCCCAGGGTATGGTTGGCTTTCTGGGCTGTGAGCACAAATTGCTGGTTCACAGTTTTCCATCCACCAATATTCCAAAATCCTTCTCCTCAGGCCTGCTCTGAACTCACTCATTGCTCAGCCTGTATTTGTGCTCTAGGATTGCCCTGACCCATGTGCAGGACCACATCACAGTTCACCATCTCTGTATCGGTGACTTCCATTACTTTCTCCTAAAAGAACTTTCTGCAGTCAAAGTTCCTGGGGTTTGGCTCTGAAGAATAGAGCGGCTTCTGAACAAAATTAAAAGGAAAAATGGACCCCTATGCACGAAAAGGAATATGCAGGGAATGCAGCTATGAGTGCATCTAAACCATGTCTTTGGAAATTCTGATTTCATTGAGGTCAAACTGAAGGACAACCTCTACAGCAAGTGCATGAAAAACTCAAGTTGCAGTCTGTGGACAGAAAAGCAAGAATACTGTACATGGCCT